TGTACTTATTGACACAATAAACTATTTTGTATTTTTTGTATTTTGTATTCTTGGCTACTTAATTTAAGTTTTTGGTAATTAAATTTTAAATTGAGTGAAGATATAGGTACAGCTTCATACATACCTATTTCAATTTATTTTGACATTTATATAGGGTCCTATCTATTGGTAAAACAGGTAGTTAAGTATGTACTATTATAGTATGTATCCTAGGTATATCGAAAATGTAAAAAATATTTACAATAGATGAAGTAAACTTAATGGCTAATTATTATTTACATTTGACCCAACATTAAACTTATGAGTACTTAAATTCCTACTTACGAACATTATCTTTATCTATTGTATAAAGTACTTAGACATGAGCTCGGTATAGCTGAAATCAAAATAATAAGTATAGGTAGGTACTTTTTCGTCATAATAATCATTCTCTAGTTTGTGAGCCTTCGCAGTAAGGTTGTAGACTAGACTACTTACGCATTTATTAGATTCATGTTCCAATAATGAAGGCTGATTGGTACCTATTCGAATAAAAGATATTGATTTGAATATATGGTGGTATAAGAAAAATATCTTGAGGCAAATTACATTTGGAAATATATTAATCTACCAGCTAGGTACTTGTAGATACGCCAAATACACTCCAATGCACATAAAAAAGGGCATCCTCATTAACTAAGCAATAGGAATTTTCTGATTTTTCACACCGTGATTAAGTCAGACTAGATCAGATGTAGGTATATGCTCTATTTTGTACTTGTATTTAAAATTTGTGTTCGTATCATCACTATCACTACATAGTATAAAACAAAGTCGCTATCCGCCGTCTGTCTGTACCTATGTATAAGTACTTAGATCTTTAAAACTATGCAACGAATTTTGATGCGGTTTATTTTAATAGATAGAATGATTCTTAAGGAAGGTTTATATGTATAATAAGTACCTACATGCATACTGCACCCATGCGAAGCCGGGGCAGGTCGCTAGTGAATTTATAAATTTAATACTTGTGAAGCATGCGTTAGTTGGTCAAGGTCCACCTATGCGTTGTTCAATCAACCAATTAGCATTGGGAGGTGAAGGTTAATCAAGATACCAATTCGTGCTGCAGTTATTGGTGTATAACTATAATTTATACTCTGTATGATATAGTAATGTAGGTACTTTCTTATCTACTTTATTAGGTTTTTTTTGAGAGGAGAGAGTCATCCAATGACTTTTCCCGGTTTGTGTAGGGCGAGAGAGAGGGTCAGACTGTTACTGACTAAAAACTTGCTCTTCGAGCCGGAACCTCGGCAACCCATTCAGTCTTCCGCGGCTTCTTATCGGGCGTTAGCCCTACTGGTCCTCATCTGTGGTGGTCTGACAGCTACCGTGCTTACATTCTTAGGTTTAAAACCAACTCACGAATTAATCTTGTCTTGAGTCTTGTCAGTCAGTACTTATTGATCTTTGACAAATTTTCGGTAGGTAACCAATTTTTAGATGTAAAATGAATGAAGGCGGACTTATCGCATATGGCATTATGTTCTTCATTACCGGAAACTGCTGTGTCTAATCACCTTGCTAAACTACTGCCTATTCATTCGGGAAATAATGTGTGGCACATATTAAATAACAGTAGGTACATATGTAGGAATTTAAGTTCTCGTAATACTATTTCTTAGTATTTTTAGATGCTAGGTAATATATCATGTTTTCATATCGAATAAATCAGTTTTCTTATTGATCTCTTCCATGGAGCTTGAAAACCCTTCAACTAAATAAATTAAATGAATATATTTAACTATAATAATAATTATATAATAATTTAATAACTATGTAATAATAATTATCCATAAATTAATCAGATATTACTTCCGGATGGTAATCATGATTATGAGCCCTTTCGTGGCTTGAAATGAGTCGAGGAACCTCTTCGAGCTAAGTGAATAAATAGTAGGAAGTAAATTAAATAAGTTATTATAAAAACACATCTATCTATTGATATGTATTAGTGAGTACTATAATATAATATTTACATGTTTATTCTTTATTTAACATTTGAAGTATATTTTCTAAGTAATTATTTAACTATCTATTTATATATTTATCTTTATTTACATTTACTTAATATTTTAAAGTTCATACGTATAAAGCTTTCTTATACAAAATGACTTTAATTTGGAAGAATTTAGCTTTTCATAAAGGACGCATTATCTAGGAAACTATCAGTGCAGGAAATACATACAACTCTCCGCATTTGTATAATAAGCTTAAAAAACTTAAAAAATAATAAGTATGTTTTTTTATAGTTAGAGGGACATGCTTCTAAATTCGAATGTAGCTCACTCTTTAGAAAACAAAAATGGAATAAAGAGTGTAATGGCACATACCACTATTTTGTACGTATTTCCTCCACATCTTATATCTATTTAAGAAATTCAATGCAAAACAAATTGTACTTACCTAAGGGCATAACTATACTATAGTATTACCATGATATAGGTAGGTATTACCTGTATCCAATGACGAAATAATAGATACATATCGATTCATAACAGGTACTTATAAAAATAAAATATAGGTAATCATTCAAATAAAATATAACAAGTGTATCGGAAACAGTCATATACACTCGTAGTATCGTAAAACGGAATGGAATTCGAGGGATGAATACATGACTACAGAAAAGAGGTATTCAAATTTTTTTCTAGTATCTACCTATCTGTTCATCCCTTTAATTCTATTCAACCTGTTTTAGCGTCATGCTAGGTTCGCACTGAGCTATCGAGTCGAATATTTAGTAGCTCTCTCTCGCTTTTGTCCTAAAGTCGAAGCGAGAGAAAGCCACTTAATACAGACTACACAGCTAAAATACTAGCGTAGTGGGAACTGAGAGCTCAGTACGAGTTTGTTTGAAACGGGACCATGTTCGGCTCTCTGATTGGTTGGTTTATTGGAGCCGGCCTATCAGAAGGTTGAAAGCGGCCTCGATTCGATCTCGTTAAACGTAAACCAAAGTCGTACCTACTAAGTCCTCTGGTATTCTGTGGCTCTGGGTATAACTTATGTAGTACCTAGCAATCGATTAACACCATTCATAGTTGTTTGTTACCACTCATCCACAGAGATCAACTCGTCGTACTAACTACAAGTCGACATACCACTCAACAGACACCATTCACATATAAAACACTGTACAATAATTTAAATTGATCCCATTTCATTGCATTGGCAATAGGCTCGACTCTCGTTATAAGTTAGTAAAGTTGGGATTCGATGGCAATTTATTGTCGATACCGTTGTCCACTTGCACCAAGTGAAGGGAGAAAAATACTTCGAAAGGAATATAAATCGTACAAGTAGAATGTTCTTAGGTGCTGTAAAGGTACAATATTTTTGATTTTAATAACGGATTTTAATTAAGATACATTTAAAAATACTGCTTTAAAAATTGATCATGAAGAAAGTTTTAGTACAATACACTAAATAACATAAGGACATGCGAACAAAACTAATTACAGTTGCTGAAAACAATATGTTGAAGAAGTTTCGGTTGGGTCTTCATTAAAATTGGTCTGTATGTCAATAATTTCGAAACTTAGGTTTAAGTAACTTTAAAGGTAAGCACATATACATACTCTACAGTTTAGAATAAGAACAGTCCGTTGCAAAGTAATACGTAACTAGCTTTAGGTATTTACATTCATCACCCTTCAGACCATAGGTATATTGTAAATAATTATATAATAGCTGATATATAATAAGCACTTTGTAAGTACTTCAGCACTTAAATATAACAATATTGCAACTGACATTCATAGACATTCCTGGCACATGTTTGCCTCTGTTTTGCTGTCACCATATAGACAGTGGGTACAAGCCGCAAAGTTATTTGGTATACACGGGTATACCTATGAAAATAAACAATGATTCAGTTCTAAGGCTTGTAAAAGATATTCTTATAATAAATGGTATGCTTTAATGAAAGCTTTTTTGTAGGTATAGTTAGTTCAGTAGACAACTAGTGGTAGCTGCACTGAATCTACCTTTATTTTCTTACCTGTGAATCGCATAACTTTACTGATTGTACAATGTTCATGCTGATTTGCTTTCCGAAGACATGTGCCAATCCTTATTTACTTATAATAGTATAGCACTATGGATCTCTTCTGCAAAAGAGGAGTTTGCCATAACTTCCTCGCTTGGCAAGCGGGTTGGAGTTGTAGATCGTATAAGTATATAGGTTCTTAGTACTAAGTAATAATAAAAATATTGAACTTGATAAAATTACTTAGATTAAAAGTTCTCTCAAGGAGATGATATGTTATGTTTGGCGACTTTGAACATGTCTAGGCACAACATTGGTGAATTTCAAGTTTTTGTGCCATTCCATGGTTTTTGTTTAGGTACCTAGGTAGTGGTGGACCATACTGCCAATATTTTGCTAGATTATTTGTCAAGTAACAGTTGATGCCAATCTCAGAAAATCAGAAAACTGTTCCTTTTTTTTTGCTAAAGGACTTACCCAGATAATAATCCATAATTCATTTTATTGTTGTACTATAATATGTTAGAATTGATCAATTAAAATCTGAATCCATTATGATACTTATGAAAAGTTTATGTCCAAAAGCTGTTCTTTTAAATATTTGTCGACCTTAGTAAATTCGACAAAAGACAATTTTATCCATGGTTTATGAAGTACCTTTTGCTATGATTTCTACTGCGTTATTTACCATTGTTATGTCACAAATAGTGGCCAGTTTGCAAGGAATTCTTATCGTAGCAGTATATCGTAGCATCACTTAAATTAACCGTAGGTATGTAGGTACCTACTAAGTCATGGCCTTCTATTATCTAATTAGTTTAATTAATTGGTTTGTGCCTGTACTTCACAATTAGCATATTCACAATTTCACTCACGCGCGTTATAATATTTATGTATGTATGTATTATGAACATAAGTATTATATATTTTATCACAGCCCATTATTTAAATTTAATGACTTGCTCTATCAAGCAATCGTGAGCAAGTATATAATTATAATATACATTAGAGATGGAATTAGATTTGGAGGAATATCCGATGATCCTGATGTACTGGAGTCAGCCATTGTTAAGTTGGCAGACGGCTGTGACAGGGTTGAAGGCTTGATGACGTCAACTGAAAGCAGATAAAACAATTCCAATTAGATGATTCCGCAATTGATATCACTATTTACATAGTTCCCTCTTTTTTTAGAAGACATCGAATTAACTGGGTTTAAACAAATTAAAAGTAGTTTAAGTAGGTCTCTCAAGTAGGTATTGTTATTTTGTTTTTAAATGAAATATGTTGAGTTTAAAATCCAAGGTGTTGTAAAAAGTATGCCTTTGTCACAAATAACAAAAAAAAATTGAGGCCGTTCCGTTGTAGCTATATAGATCATGGTCAGATTTGTTAATAATGGTCAAACTATTACCACAGTATAGGTACGGACGGTTTCAATATCAATCAATTACCTAGCTGTAAAGCTATTGAAAAATGAATATTGGTCGACCGATATTCATTTTTCTAATTACATTTTTTAATTAATACATGTGAACCGTTATCGATAACGGTTCACATGTATTAATTAGTACACGTTATAAAAGTTTCCTAATTTCATGACTTCATTAAAATAGTTTATAAATATCTAAGAAAAATGCACTTATTGTATTATTCAAGGTAGGTATTCAAGATCCTAAATATTTGTATTATAAAGTAGGTACCTATGCATGAAGATGGTAAAAAAACACTGTATAATTAAAAATTAAGAATAATACTGGCATTTTCTCTCGGGAAAATGGTGCAAAAGCCTTATACTATGCCGATGAGTAAAATTTTAAAAATAAAACACAAATGGCGGTTTTGTTTTTTCTTTGGCCCAAATGCCAGTTATTTATTCACGCAAACACAAAAAGTTCTGCAAGTAGGTTAAATATTCTAACTACATTTTTTTTTAGGATTTTTGATGTTGACTTATTTATTTTTTGATAAATAACAATTTGTTTCTAAAGGTGACCTCTGAAAAATAAATAAATACTGGTTGTTTTTCACGCAAAAAAATGTGTCAGCCTTTTACTATTTGACGTAATCAAATGCTTTTCTTTATTATCTGTGACTCTAGTGACCTTATATAACCCCTATACTTATTATACTCTTTGCCTTATATTGAGGTATTCAAACAAAGTGATAGGCAAGTTGAGTTCAATAACCAAGTGAAATATTGTATTAAATTTATTTATTTATTTATAATTAATAGATAAGTGTTTTAAATAAGTTTTGAAATGAACAAAATAAATAAACATAATATAAAAAAATAAACAGAGTTCTAGCAGACCTATTGCCTGTTTATTCATTGAAAAACGTGTTGGAATAATTTGAATATTTTCGACAAATAAACAATAATAAAAAAAATCAAAGACATACTTAGACAAGTTTTTAAATAAATGCCAAAGAATTTTATTATATTCCGTGGGCAAGAAAATCGAAAAGTTGTGATAAGTTAAAAAAGTAAGTGGTTTTTACCTATAACTGTATCGTTTCTGACATCGGCGAACCTGTCTTCGATACTTCTAAACTCTGGTATCGTGCTGACGCAAGTAATTTCCAGTCTTCCAGTCGCCACTATTTGTAGCTCCGACACGGTCACATACAGATCTCTCTTGCTGGGTTTACGACTCTTGTGTCGACTGCTCATATGAATAACATTTACCTCTTCATGTTCTTTTACTTCGGCCATCTGGAAAATATAAGTCGAAGGTGAATTTAGCATAAATGTGAAATAAGAAAAAGGAAATTATAAATTGTACTCAAAACACGAGGGAAATAGATAACTGTTTACAATTAAAACACTTTGTGTATAAACACACAGTGTTTTAACTAACAATTATCGGGGACCGATGTAGGTAGGAAAAGTAAATAAACATTAACAATATCTATTATTATTTGTGATGTGGCAGAATTTATTATATTTTAGTTAATGTAACGTAATATTTTAACAAATTGATCGAATCGCAACCCGATTGTTTTGTCATTCCAGCTACTAACAACTAAAAACTACCGCAAAGTCACCACTCGACACTGGCAGTATAGTCGACAACACCGTTTTGGAGACTCGGTTGCCAAAGAGGAAGAAAAAAAACCCGTTTATACCTAGGTATATCGGTACTCACTTCATTGATCGACGATTTATTTATCCACAAAGATGTGTCAACTGTTCACAGATCTGACATTTGATGCCGACATACATGCCTCTGGGAGAAAAGCTCAAGTTGGCAGTACAGACATGTATATTTTAGGTAAATAATTCGTGCTACGAACGCACCTACGCGCTACGTAGCGTCAGTAGGTAGACGTGCACGTACGAACATAATGGTTAATTTGCATAAAAATAATACTATGGTAATTTCCTTGCGCCCAGTAACGTATCTAAAATGTATACATACATGTAGGTAAACAAAATATGTTCCCTGCCATTTTAGACTGAATTCGGAATTTAATTAGCTTGGTCGCATTATATTAATGTAGGTTCAACCGTGTTAAATGTAATTAAGTTCATAATTCTCAGTGTGATTGTATTTAATTCCGCACTTTGTCATAAAGATAAAGTTGAATACGAATCAAGGTAAGTCACGCGTCATAAAGTTATATAAACTGTGATTAGGATTATTACCTGATTTTCTTTTAAGCTGCAGCCGGGTGGTCTCGTAGCCACGTGAGAGGCGTGTGTAAGGGTTAACAATGGAGGAGGGCTGCTGATGCCAGTGTCGTACTCGAAGCTTCGCTGTAAGCCTCGGCGTCCATTGCGTTCACTCATCGGTACGCGAAACTTGTGTGAGTGGGCTACTAACTCGTCCATCTAACGTCAGAAAAACTGGGTAAATGTTATTGTTACAAAAATGAATTTTGGTTAGATATCCGTAGTAGTTAGTATTATTATTCGGAGAGTATGAATTATAATTTGTTACAATGATTTCATACCTTTCTGCCATTGATGAACCATGTTATATGTGGGGCTGGAACCGCAGGCGCTGTGGTGCAGTTTGCTCGAAGAGTTTCTCCGAAGCTGAGGTAGCGTGTCGGGAAGTCGATCCTAGGGTGATGCTTTTGCGGATCTGAGGAGTGGTTTTTGGTAAACATTAAATCACTTGATTGTTGTTTGTCTAATAATGACAAAGTAGTATTTATTGTATGGTAGTAGGTAGTGAAAATAACAAGGGGTTTACTCTTGAATCTAATTCCGATCAATCAAAATTAGGAAATTTGTACTCTTGAGAAGCAACACTAGCGCCCAATGCATCCGTATTGCGTAAATATTTAATGACAGTACCATTAGGTTCATACTATTTAGTTTGGCTTTATATGCCGTACTCTGAATGCTATTTTAACAGCTACGATGGGGGTTGTATAGTTTTGACATAAAATAATTATTGAGATTTTATTCGATTGAACTTGTATTGACATTAATATTGGTTTCAAGAGTAAGCAACCTGATGTATAATTTTCCTTTTTCTGTTCTGGCGAGTCGACATTCTATGTTCATCAGACAAATTTCCAAGTACACACTAATCAGTTGAATTACCTCACATGATTGCCTTTTAATTTAAACCAAGAATGTATTTAATCTAATAAAATTGATGAGTGTTTAGTGTACTGAACATGTCATATTACGTCTGACTTAATACCGGATTAGGACAATACATGTTGACAGTAATCTCAACATTTTACGCTAATCCTGATTATCTACTAAGTATAGCAAACACACCACATAATCCCTATTCCGTTGACGCATATTGTTATAACCGAGACAATGCATAGCCTCATAAGTACCTACGGTTGTCCAATGTTGTCACATTTTATCCTTTACGTAACAAAAACAAAGTATCATGATCTGTTACAAATATTTTTTTTTACATCGGGTTTTGTCATCCTAATTTTCTGACAAGCGACAGTATTGTGTTAAAATTTTATGAATCCGAGGTAACAACTAGTTGAAAAACAGATTGCCATAAAGCAGAAATATAAAAAAAAACTAGTTAAGGTTGCGAAGAATAAAGGAGGAAGTAAATATTTTGATGATTAAGTAAGAACGAATGACTAGTTGTCTATATTTGCGGTTGCACCCAAATAATATTACTTGGGATATTATAATTTGAGATTGAAATCGGTATAGAATAAGTATTATAAACTTTTTGATTACTGTTAGTTAAGGAAAACGAATTACCATTTTACACAGTATAGGCACCTATTTAGTATAGAGCAAATAAAAAATAATGTGACAATTTTAGAATTTTTATTACATTCTCTTTGGTTTTAGTTGATGCAGATCTCAAACAGTAGGCTTATAGCTGTTAAAGATTGTATTTGCGCATCATTGGGAAGTTAAATTAAACAAAATGTTTTTTTAAAGTGGGTCCTTGATTAAATTTTTCATTACTTGTATTGACTTTATATTTGAACGCGTATCCAGTTGATATAACTGCTGACTCTAGCGAAAGCAGAAGGGAACTGTAATTCACATCCATCACGTGCCACAAATGAACTCACGCCGATCAACACTGGCTCTCCATTAACAGTCATTGTCAAAGGTCCCCCTGAGTCGCCCTGGCAAATACCAACTCCTCCATAGCCGTTTGTGCAAATGTTTGAATCTAACACCAAGTCACCGTAGTAGGAGCGACATTTTTGTAGTTCTATCACTTCCAGCAAAACATTTCGAGCCATTGTGTTGGTCGTGGGGTTAGTAACGTCTGAGTATCTTCCATAGCCAGCAGCGATAACTGTTTCGTTTGTGTAGTCCATATGCAGAAGCGATCCTGATGGTAATGCTATCGGTTGAATTTGGCCAGAAAATGGTACGTGGACGGGTAAATACAACATTGCTATGTCGTTGGCGAATGTTCGAAAGTCATAACTTGGGTGGATGGCAATGGCACTTGGAAATACTCGTACACCTCCATGGAATAAGAACGGGGATCCCAAGACAGCAGTAATGCGATGAGCTTGATTAAATCCGTCGAACCAGCAGTGAGCCGCTGTTAGGATTCTATTTGCAGAAAGAAGCGATCCTCCGCATGCTGAGGGTGAGGAGAAGCCTATGATGTCGATGAGTAGACCGGCGAGGTAAGGGTGAGCGTAGACCGGAGCCACAGCACCTCCCACGATGCGACTGTTTAGCGTCACTTCTTCAGACAACTTTATAAGTTCAGCATTTTTCATGCCAACCCTCTGATGCCATCCTACAAACTCCAGGCTCCAGGCGGAGTGAATAAACAACAGACAGATGACTAGGAACGCGCGCATTGTGGACGTTCGTTGTGTACCGACACAGGACGGTCACTTTATATACTTTACACAAGTTATCTCACTCTTAATTTTATCTGTTTTAATTTTTAACTCAAACCGACAGCTAATAAATAAATAGTTAAGCCGATAAAGTTTTTATTGCCCCTATTTTACAGGGATTAACACTTTTCGATTTAATTGATTGGTAATTTTGCACGAGCTATGGAATAAGGGAGACACCTAAGTAGCGTTATATCTGCTAAGCTTAGGATTAACGTGCATTTATTTTCTAGAATTACTTTATGATATTTTCAAAACAATTCTGGTCATAGATATTTTTTGTGTATCTAATAATAATTTTTAGCACTCGTTAGATAAATAACATTTTCTAGAAGTTTTTCTAAGAGAGCAAGTTTTTCTAATATGCGCATATAGAAATGAGGAAATTAACTTTATCGAAAGTTTTTCTTTTCTTAACAATTATAAATATTTATTTGTTATTGATTTAAGAACAAAACTTTTTCTTTGTAATAAAACAGTTTGTTGAATTAGTTAACAATTAATTAAAAGGATGGCTTACTCACAAGAACTAGGTACGTAAGAAACTCTATCGGTTTCAATTCACTTTGGGTATCTTATTCAGTAGTGAGTATGTTAGTCGTTATTCAATTAACTTATTATGTGGTATGTTATGATAGTATTACACAAACATATTTAACAATTATTGTAAAAAGACTTAAATAAAAACATTTTTATATGTTTTTCGTTGAGGATATAGCTTTTTCTATAATTTGTATTTTATAAATTGTTTCCAATCATTTGAAAACTAGACACGACATTATAGGTACATATAAATTGCGTGAAAGTATGTATACATATGTACATAATATACTGCGTCGATTAGTGATTTTCCTTTCCTCTATTTGGTCTCATTTTTCAGTCGCTAAGTAACATTCCCTCGTTCACTTTTACCTGTAATAGCTGTTGATTTACTACCATTGGGTGAGGTATTTCCTTCCCGAACCTTTTCAGTGCTCGATTAATCATTTATTACGTTGTAGGGTTCCAAATTACGGACGATTTCGGGGCCTGCGGCTTTAGCTACTATCGGTCTCCCAATGTATCTATGCCCATGTGCGTAAGCTTTGACGCCCAAAAATGACTTGTGTAATCTTTACAAGAAGTAATAGTCCTAAATTCAAGTCTATTAGGGATTTTCAATGGTATCGGGTCAAATAAAACTTGGCAAACTTTGTGTAACCTTACGTTTTGCTACTTGGGAGCTACATAATACATCTGGGTTACCTTACGGACACATACGTATAAAGTATCGGGGAACGGAAACGGATTCTCCTCAATAAAAACGAGACCACGATATTTGTTGCTCGACCCCGGACTTGATAAATGACCAGAGAGGAGAAAACCAACAAACATTTCCTCGTGTAAGAGAACAATAATTTCAACAGTGTTTTGCAAGAGAAAACGTAATATTTTATTTGCATTATTTTTCAACAATAAGAACCTGTGAAAGCAGCTGACGTCAATCAATATATAAAGTATGATAGCGTACGATACGAAATTTCTGAGGTCATTTGTCTTGCTGATGTTGCACTTATTCATGTCAGGCTTCATCGATTTTGCTCTATTCGGTACCAAAATCAAAACCTAATCAACCGGCAATTTCTGATCCGCAATAGCTCGATTCAGCTATTTGTATCTTTAGACGAATTGCTTGACGGTTGTGTGTTAAATTTTAGTTCATTGGCTTTAGAAATAAGGTTCAGAATGGTATGATATTTTGTTGTCAAATTTAAATGGTGCGTGGTATCTTGTTTGGTATGCGTCTCACGTGCCGGCCGAACTTCATCGTGCATTCTAATAGATAGCTAATGACGATGTTTTGGGCAGTAAATGGATACTTTTATTTGAGCATCGGCTTCTATAGTATTGTTTTATATTCAAAGTTTAGGGGCGGTTAGTTTAAGGGAAACCATTGACCATTTTGAACAATACTTGCATGTTAAGTTTTTATCGTTTAAACAAAACTAGAGACGTCAATTTCAGGCAAAGACCGATAAAGTAATCTAATCGAAACAAGCTAGGATTTAAAATGTATTGATTAGTGGCTGTTCTTGGTTCCTACAATAGTAACTCACATTTATTGCAATTCGTGTTGATTATCGCTATGAACAAGTAATGTAAATAGTAAATGATTCATAGATAAATATGTATGTAATGCGACTGGCATCACATTAACGATTCATTTAATTGCTCTGAGAATTGTAGCATTCAAATGTTTGTGCTTGAAATACCAGTGCCTCTTTGAAGGGATGTTGTTTCATTCTCTATTAATTGAGAAAAATTATTGGTTTTGTAACATTAGCTATGACATGACCCGAGTACTTGAGCAATTATCATATATTGTATATTAGAGAGAGTTGATTCTAACTTCGATGAAAAAATCTATATGTAGTCACTAACACTAAAACGAATATGTACTTACACGAAATCGAATCATAAATTGGTTTGTCTAAAGTTCTTAATACATGATCTTTGTTTTATAGTGTTACAATGTAATATCCATAAACACAACATAGATATTTGTTCAAAAAACTGCCAACAAGTATTTACAGCAACCAAATTAAACAAAAACCTCACTTGCTACAAAATAGAACAATACACGAACATTGAAAACTTACGGAATACTGTGAGCTGTTTTTCAGTGGAGGCTTTTGTGTATATAGGAGTGTCGAGTGACACCTCGCACGAGTAGCTGCCACTCGCAGCAAAATCCAAGTTCTGCAGGATTATAGAGTTTTCCGTAGCTAAGGCGATCTGAAATGAAGCAAACAAGTCAATTAGTTGCAGATAAAGACGCTCACTGAATTTTAATAGAATGCCGGCGACCGTTGCAAGAGTATCGTTTGTGGAACCGTTAATTGAAAGAGGTTTTACATTTTTAAGAATAGTGTCCTATAGATTTTGTTTAAGTAACATTATTGCTATTTGGTCGTAAGTGGGTCTGCTTAGCTGGGTTTTATAGTCCGTTAAAGATATGAATTTTGCAGTGGTAAATACAGGTATCTACCAACGTAATTTCAATTTGCGTCTGGTTAACTACTAAATTATTTAAAGCTTCTCAGGTTTATTGTTGTAGTGTAGATAGATACGTAAATAAAATATATTTTACTCAATCAGAGGGAAACAAAAAATCGACTACCAAAGGGAGAGCAAGATAAGAAAGACAATATAATACCTACAAGTGGGTGCTTTGTCGATTACCATAATCTGTACACACCGTCACGTCTGAAGATAAAACTCGCTGGTTTTTTATTCATGCACACCGATATCTAAGACAGCTTAAATTCAGACAGAGCCGTATAATATTTTTGTGTAAATTGCGAAAGTGTTTAAAACCACGATGCCATTAGTCATGGTACTAGGTCTAACATAATATGAATATGTGTCACAAAAAAGTTTGTTAAAGTTATTTTATCAGAGATTGGGGGGACATGTATGGCTCAACCTGACGACCCTTCCACGAATTTGTTGTGGTCGTTATAAAAGGCGAATGTCATTAAGTTAAAAGGCGAGGCACACGGAAATATTTAAGCTTACAAGGATGGTTCAACAAGTGGACGGGGCAGTACTTATTATGATTACGTGTTTCCAATAGAATTAGGAATGTGGGAATACGTAAGTAGTTATTCAGGTGAATCGATTTCTTCGAGCTTCGCCTTGGATTTGTGGGTCGTCGAATGTTTTTCAATTTTTTTTCTTTATATATTGACCGGTTAGTAGGGCACGTAAATGTTTTTGAACTACACGTATAACTCTTCGTCTAAATCTAAAAATAGTCTCTTACCGTTATCGATATATTATAAAAGTCATATTTATTATTATAATCTGGTCTGAAGTATCATTTCGTTCACCATTAAATAGATAATGAATGTAAAATTTATACGAACTCTTTGATCATTAAAATTTTTAATCAATACACCGAGTCAACCTTTATTTTGGTAAACTGCATCATTTATTCTACCTCAATATAATAATCAAATGATTTAAACATGAAACCGTTTTAAAATGTACCTTCAACCTCCTACCTCCAAACATACAGGGAATGAATCAATAGCCGAGTCGTTGGTATGGTATACCAATGAGATTTTGGATTCTGTAACCTCGGTTCGACATTTAGGCCTTAAGACAATTCACTCGTATTCGTATGAATACAGAATTTGCTAGATTGACCTGGTAGTGAGGTCGACCTGTTACGCCCTCCTGCGGCGAAATGGAACGAGCAATGTGCATGCAATGCAACCACCTAAGGTACGCCGAATTAATTTAAGTGCGCTTTTACATTAGGTGCATACTGCCTGCTGTTAGCATACGTTGTAGCTTTTATTATTAGTCTATGCGGAGACTATGAACGTGCGACTGTGGATACGGAAGCCGAGTAATTAACTGGAAATTATATCTGAGTACTCGTCACCTAGTCTTACTTATATGATGTTTGAGTGTGTGCACCAGTAGTAAGTAGGATAGTTTCTAGTGCGCAGAAATTTATGCGGAAGGTTAGTTTTTCATGGGTAACTTCGTCCGGACATCTGTCATCAAGTCTAAATTAACATAAAACACTAACACAATAACCATTTTTATAAAGTCTACTATGGGATAATATAAAACCAAAGTTCAACAACTACGGCATAGTTCATTAAATAATTTAAAAGATAAGCGTTGAAAATTACATTTAAACTAAAGTTTGCGACAGTAGAACAAACCCACGCAAAGCTGGGAGAAAATAATATTCAATAACGAGATAATGAAACTTCGGAAGTGTTCTTCACGTTTTAAAACAACTTGTATCACGCCTACACTTCACAGATGAGTTAAATATATTTCCTTCTATTTTTGTATTATATACACAAGCGTAGGTGATAATAACTTACGCAGCACTAGCGGATTTATATTGCGAGAGTAGATTTATAATGGTTAGTACGCGACCCACATTTTACGTCGTAAATAAATCAGAGAATGTCTTTCATAAGGATACGTGAACAATGTCCCGGTTGGCTGGCTTGAATCGTCGACAGAAAAGCGTTTAATTCATTAAGATCTATACAATTAGACGGTGAACTAGCGAAAAGGCGCCCGAGGAAAACCTTCCTGTATGGTGACCAATATTTCCTTTTATGATGGATATTTTTATCCCATGGTATGTCTAACAATTTATCTTGTTAACTAGATTTGTTCCTTAAACCGAATTATAATGTTTAGCTCTCGGATATATTTTAGCTTCGTAAAAACGCTGCATGGCAAGCTTTCTGGGAAACATAATATGTACATCTAAGTAAACATCAAATATCAGGTAAAAATCACTTAATCCTAACTATTTACAGAGATTCACGAATTTTTGTTTTACGGGTATAGTTTTGGAATTTAAACTGTCAAACACCAAGCGGTCACCGGTGACCGCGACCTATTGTTCCTTAATTGTGTCTATAAAACCGGTACTCGACGAATTAAACATCATTTTGCACTATTCGATAGCCAGTAAGTTCCTTATAGTTAGTTTAACATAAGACAAAACTAAAGCACTGAAGTATCGAACTAGAGCTTCCGATGTTTTGCAAAAGGGTATCGATACGAGGTTGTAGTGTGAGTTAACCTTGTGGTTGGGCGATGGGCTACCATTACTTATGCATCGGCGTTATCTTGACCCAACATCAATTGGTAGGTACGGCCATAAGCGGTTATTGCTGATAGAGGGAGCTACAATGTAACGATACAAATGCATTACTACGTTGTGTACCTACTCGTATGTCCGGTATGTCAATACCGGTCGGTAACTAAAGCCGGCACGGTGCGGTGCGTCAACCGATGTAAATTCACCATTATTTTCATGTGTAATCGTATTACCTACCGTATGAAGTTTTCATTTACGCTTAATAATTTTAAACACATTTTCAGTTCATGGTTTCCAAGCCGGCCGTAAATTGAATTTATTGCAGAGTTTTGTTAATAATTCTCACAGTTCTGTAAACGTAGTACTTGCAAAGGCTTTTAAGGATTAATGGCAATGTTTTGAGTATTCTATTAAGCTTAAAATTACTTGCATTAAGAGATAACTATCAACAAAAACACTTTCATGTTTCTTTTTAACTATTAGATATGAATATCGGGCGTTATGTAACTTCTGAAAGTAGCTTATTGGAAATATTGACAACTAATTAAAATAAAATACACTTGGAAAGTTATTCAAGTTTAAATAGAAAACAGAACAATATTGGAGCAAATGTATCTCGACAAAGTACATATTTATAACAAGCAAGTCGAATTTTCAGAGGTTTTTTAACGACGTTTTGTTTTAGTTACCATACAGCATTAGGTATACAATAATAAATATTTATGCTATGTTATCGTACCTCCGTAAGCCGTGTGATCACCGCCCTTTTTCGTATCGTAAGATTTTACTAAAAGACCACCAACCGGCACCGTCATGGACTGTTGATGTATTTTTTTTAAATAGTAAGCAGATACAGCATACACGAATCAGCGAACAGACGCCAGTGACATAAGGCTCGATCCAGCTAAAGTGAAATCGTGTGGTAACCCTAAGGCAACGTTGACCCGGAAAATTAACTCCGCCCGAGCCATTACCCAACTGGCACCTACGTCTGTAAATTTTTAAGGCACGTTCACATATTCAGGATCACTGCAGAAAGGGAAAAATATAAGAATAATCTTGAGTAATGTTCTTTTTATAAATATTGTACGATCACCTGGTTTATGCATACGTTAGAAACGTGTGCACCTACGAAAAGTGAGACTTGACGATAGACGACGAAGTGTATTATGTTTCAAAGACAGATATATGATTATAATAATTATCTAAACCACCACAAAACCACATACATACATATATATTTAGACAGATACACAGTCATAATAGATGTATTTAGCAGTAGCTAACTTATCTTATCGGTTTAAAATTTTATTTTGCGCCGTGAATTTGTAGTGATTAAGTTCTAGGTCAGTTTTAGCTTATCATTAAAACGTTAGTGATACGTAGATGTGTACATACTGTGTTTTGCAATTTAAATTGTACATGTAACTTCTTTATTAGATTCATTTTGAAATGAAGCATATCTTAGTTTATAAAGGAGCAGTAACCAGAGACGATTGAAATTTTAAACAGTAGGCATGTTCATTTCATTACTGGGATTTATCAAGGTTTGGACGAAATACGAGTATCAAAATTTCGTATTTAAATGCTTTAATTAAATCTTACACGTCAATAATTGCAGCGCGACTCATAATTGGCGGTTGTACCTCACACAAAATCTACGCCAGCGATAAGTAATTAAAATGTTTTCAGTTTTAACATTTCAGAATATTGCAATCATATACTGTCACCGGCTTAATTCCGGTTCATCGATCCAACTGGCGATTAATTCAGTAATATCCGCTCATATGGTGCCGAACTTTTATGTGAGTTTGATAACAAAAACGCTGTGTTATCATTTGCAGACTCGCAACTAGTTATTGATGTTACCTACCTAGTCTACGTAGACTGACACAGCAGCGTAGGAAATTGCTTCCATCTAAATATAGATCTAAATTGGTCTGGACTTTTGATTGAATTGAAGTAAGTTATTGACGTGTACATCTTTATGTTCGATAGTACCTAACTACATATTTTTATATACATTTTACAAGTATTATTTGTCAACCACACAAGTTTAATATGTTTTAAAATTAAACAAGTTACAGATATGAATGATATCGGTGTAGATTAAATACTATTTGTTGATAAATTTTGCATTGGCTTCCTCAAACGTAACTGACTATTGGATTATTACTAGCTTCACTGGTCACTACGGGACTTATGGAGTAGGAAATATATACAAATTGATAGGAAAACACTTTATTAAAAATATTGTAAATTTTGACTGTAGATGAAGATTGTAGGCTTCGTACGCAAGTAAGTACGTATGTATTTAAGATCCGTACAAAGAAAAAGTGCCATTCTAGCGAGTTCGACCGGAGATTGTACGCCGTCTCCGGTTGAACTCTCGTAGAGAGTGCTTTAATCAAAGAAAGCGGAACTGAAATATTTTTTTCTAGACAAGGAGTTGGCACGTTACAGTTCTTTTGTTATTTTTACATTGTAGTTGCGCCTGCTTTATTGTTGTAGTTTTTGTAAAGTAACACTTAAATCAAACTATTTCATTATTTTCTCCTTCTATAACAATAGTCATAATTTGGGTCTTAAGCTATAATGACATTCCTTTAAAAATTCACCTATTTCGAGGGAAAAATGTTCAACAATATATTTTCATATAAACCGCAGTAATTGTTTAGAACAAAAGTAACCATTGTTTTGAATATACGTGTTCTTATGCTGGAGTTCAACACGTATCTGGCTCAAAGTGCTCGTTTGTTAGGCTGAAACTTGCATAAAGTAATTAATTAAGTTGCTAAGTGAGTTAAATAATAGTGCAGCCGGTAAAGCTAGGACTTTTTCGTATAATTTTAGGTGTAAAATGTTTCAACATGGCAATTTTGTAAATACCTCTATACTGTGCCAGTTCCTTTATACGTATTTTTTATAAAATTATAGTTACATTTAATATAAATTGGCAGATATTAAAAAACAACTTATATAATACTTGGTACCTCGAAAATCTTTCACAGAAATAAATCCAATGCGATGCAGGTGTTTCATTAAAAAATGCGATAGTCCACTATTGTTAAAATATTCCGTATTATTGCTAGTGGGAAATGGCGATTAAGGTTTATTTAATGTGGATGGTGCCCCAGAAAGAAAGTATTATGATTGCCGAGATGCAATCTGGGCAATGATAATACTAGTTCCCCCAGTCGATTAATTAGGCGTGCAGTTTACCTTTGTTTGTGGAGGCTTTGCGTCGGTCATGCTAAATGTACGCTTTGGTGCGACTGTACGTTTGTATTCATTACTATGACTGAGTGGAAGCTGTGCAGATCAGCACCAGTTACTTTACATGACGCTTTCTCATAAATATGTATTGCAGACAGAGGTACCTACGACACAATTGAGAAAATAACATTCAGAGACGATGCGTGTAACTCGTCTAGTTTTGGTTGAAATTGAAGACAATGTTTTTATTTATAGAGCTAAGCATTTTTTTTGTTTAAGTAGATAAATAATGGGACAAGCAGAAGCAGTAGGTACATCTATAGGTACGTTTGCAATCCTCAGACTTTGGGTAGATTCCCAAATGACGGGAGGTAAATAGATGTTCGCACATAAAATTCTTAAAAGCATATTATATGTAAGAAGTAAAATATAAATGCTAGGTATAGCTACTTGCAGCTATTGAAGCTTAGAGTATATGCATTATTCACTTACGTTGAGCACGGCTCCGGGCGTAGTAAAGTTTCTATAAGGCGGTTTCCGGTCCCTAATGTACTGGAAGATTTTGGTGCCGTGTCGGAGGAAGACCACTTTGTCAAGGAGATGGGGCGGCACGTCGTGCACGCAGCGGAGCCGCACCGAGCCGCCGCGCGCCGCCCACCGCTCCATTTGTAACTCCACGCGCACCTCCGCGTGCCCACGTACTGGAAACATACACAACCTCTATCACTATTTTACAACCGAAGAAATGTTACATTTAGGTCTGGCAACAACCTATGTACAAGGTACAAATATACTTAGCGTTATGTATAAAAGAGTTATGTATTGTATAAAAGAGTTCAAATATAAGTAAGTCATCCCCGCAATATTATCCGAGTTTACTTTCATACACAAAACATGCAACTGCTAAAATATAGGTGAGCAGTGTGTAGGTATTTGTGTGGGTAATCCGAGGCGCGGCTTGCACGCACCCGTCACAAGCACAACAATGTTGTTTTTATGACGTTTGTCACGTTTTTCAGAAATTGCGTCGGCTCCCTTCTGTTCCCACGATCCAAGGAAACCCATACCATTTTCCACGTTTTATTTCCATTGTATTTTGAACTCTTTTCACTTAGATGTAAAGTTCTAGGTACCTAGTTGTTTGGTATTAGGAAAATGTGTCTTTGTTAGTAACAATCTTGGGTGCGCCTTAGTAAACTCAAGGTTCATGACAACACGTTTTATACCCGGTGATATTGTGTGGTGGGTAATATGAGAATGAGAGGCACAGAAGGACAATTATAGCAATAACTGTCGCATGTAAGTTTACATTCATGAGGATCCGAGCCGTGGTTGTTTACGCGCAGGGTTTGTTATCTGATTGCTATTGACGGCGCGGTGTAAATATTCCGACGTCGTATTGTGTTCGTAGGCAGGTAGTCACCCACACTATACTCTGCAACGATTTCCGTAATCCGAACGTGGGAAGAAATGCTGATGAAATATAATGTGCAATCAAGTGAAATGGAAAAGCTCCGTGAAATAGCTCGCATCCTTCTTGCGTGCTATAAACCATTTCCGTCAGTTTTATGGTTTGCACGTTTTATGATTTTCACCGCTACATTGCAACTTTTAGTTGGTACGCCGAGGTACAAAATTAGAATAGAAGACATTGCCTAATCATTTTAATATTAGAGTTAAAAATGGAAATCAACAATTTCTACTTGACTAGACACAATCATGTTTAAAAGCAATAAACCGAAAAAGGTTTAAAAGCTAGTCCTTGAATAAATAGTTGTCTACGACAAAATTTGACATGTTTGTTTTTTAATTAGCATAAAATGAGTTAGACAACGATTAACGTAATACTATGTAAACATAGACTGAGTTATGTCCAAAATCACAAAACATTATTAGTTAAACTTTAGTCTGGCCACTGAACGTTCGAGAGCGTTACCCCATTCGAGAGGATGAGATGCCTTAGCAATAGAATTCAAGAAGTTCACTGCAAAATATTTTTTATTCAAAGGCCAGCGACCCAAGTTGATCCGTAGCGACGGCGACGGTATGTGGTAAATGAAAACATATATTATTACAAGTTTACGGCCAAAAAGCGTTTATAATACTTACGTATTTAACATGATTAGGCATTTTGGTGAGCTTGTGCAGACGCAACGAGTCGGGTTTCTTTTAAGAGTAAACAGTCATTTAAGTTGTCGTGTTACTCTTACGACCCTTAATTTTGTCAAGCTTCGCCCCAAGTATGTTCCAGTAACAGATAGGTATAGAGATACGTGCATAAGTTAAAACATCTGAAAACAGCAGTTGAAGACCAAGCTATAAATAAATACCTAAGCCCCGAGCACCTCAATTGTAGAGGTGAACACAAATATATGTGCAAAAGGTCGCAAGTCGCTTGTGAACATAATTACAATAACTTCTCATGAATGTCCACTATGTGACATAGGGAACTATGAAAGAGAGCGCTATTTTTCTTCACTTATGATACCCACCAGGTATTCTTTAGTCTATAAATATAAGGTCGACTATGCGTGACCAGGGGGCTTTTTGTTTGTCTGTTAGAAAAATTACCCTGAGTTATTAGCTCATATTATAAACATGACGTGACAATAGCACTTATTACTTTTTGGCCTAGATAATGGTATTCACACTTAACTAAATTAAAACTGATCACACACTGTTATTGCGTTATTCGTATTATTTTTATTTAGACCAATAAGCTAGTTTTTTAGATGATACTTATGAGTGTTTTGTATTGTTTTTGTTCGCATTAAGTACCTACAATGCTTAGATATGTCTGCTTCACGAAATTAAATTAAATAATTTTAATATTCAGACAAATGCTACACGGAGGGAAAATACCTTGTATACTTACTAAAAGTACTTTTTCTTTCCGGCAATTTATTAAAAATCTATGAATGCAGCTTGATCTGTTTTTGAAAATAGTCTTCTGTTAGTACGTCTATATTGTTTATTCAGTATTTATGTACTTTTCCTCCATGCTGCGTTGTCCTGGGTAGTATAATACTCAGCACCTATAAAACGAAGTTACATTATTCCACAGCCCTGCATTAGCCCAGCAGTCGCACTTGCGACCACTCGGCCAACGAGGCAGTCTTCAGAAGATTAATCGTTCTATATCGAATTGTTTGCTTGTAATCAAATATTTAAACAATACCAGTAAGGAGGACGCAGAATGCTAATCTCATTTATGAAATTATGTTTCTTTTTTGTGAATATTTAAAACTTGTTAGCTAGTGGTTGTTGCCCGCCACTTCTTTTGCATAATGCAAAGCTAGACTCGCCGAGAACCACAAAATATCCTGTCTTAGTGCATGCTGTGAAGTTTATTTTAAAGAAAATTTTAGTTTATCCTCATAACTTTGGCTTTTCATTTTAATTCGAAAAGCAAGCCTTCATTTTTAACACAAGTATTTATTTATCTTGATTAGAGTAACATGAACGACGCGATCCGAATTTCCTTTTTGAGTAAATAATTCGTGATTAACGATTACACGCAAAATGAAAATAAAAGGTTAAATTAGTTCAGTAATCAAGGGCCCGCGTAACGTAATATCTATATGTATCACAAATTTGATAATACCTACTCTAGTATTCCCAGTATGACACGTATGCGTTGCAGTTTACTAATTCACAATAGCTCACGCTACTGCAGAGCATTCCAAACGACCAGTTGCATTCGTGCCGAAGCGGCATGTCAAAGGATTTAGTAATTCATCAATCTACATTAATGTGTGCTTCAAAACTCTAATAGGCTACTGAAGGCATAACATGAGTCCGTATATCCGTAACAAGTGTGGGAGAGCCATTCTTTGGCAGGAATGCGCCGGATCGAGTGATATCACGGCCTTACACAAAATCGACGTGAAACAACGCTTGCGTTGTGTTTTGGCGTGTAAGTGATGTTACCGGAGACCCAATTATCTCCCCGAATCCCTCCAATTCCTAATCCGCAAAAGGCCGGTGACGCACTTGTAACACTTTCGGTGTTTTGGATGTCCATGAGCAGCGCTGATTGCTTACCATCAGGTAATCCGTCTGTTCGTTTTTAGATTCTATAAAAATATTTCGATACAATTTAAGAGACTGTGAAAGTACTAAAATTTACAAAGATACTGGACGTACAGTTTATTTCCTAATTTGTGCGTTACGATGGCTTTACTAGTACGCTTTGGTATTCAGTTCTGGCGTACTCTTGTGTTGTAATGCCACAACCTCACAAACATGTAATTGTTTCAGAATATAATTGAATTCTGTTTGCACCATTGTTTAAGCATTATTGACGTGGTCTATTAATTGTGCTAGCGTTACCTGACACCCTTTGATGTCGACCTGAGTCTGTGCTGAGTTGTCAGTGGGCACGTTTACTTGTATGTTTAGTGACAAGTGCCGTGAACGTGCACAAGACAGTGATAAATGCGGGCCAGTGTCGCCAGGACAAGTGTCGTGTTCTCACTGTCCTATAATCCAACATTAGTTACTTGTGTTACCGCTTCCAGCTTTCTGCTAAGTCAGCTTATCTCGTACTGTACTCACATTGAATTATAAATAAACTCGAACAACTTCTCAGATGAACATACGAATGTTATTTTTCAACTCAATGTATGTTCTTACAAAAATTTCATAAGCAACGAAAATGCTCATGTTACAAATAACGATTCTAATAATAATAAAGTTAGTGATGAGTAGGGAAAGTCAACGTTTTTTTTTGCTAAAATCGTATGATATAAAAATAGCCAATCAACCGAAGTTTGTGGTTATAACTTCTTACGCGGAAATATAATACAACTTGTAAACTGTCGTAAACTAAACGACACAAGTTTTGTAACAAACCACTACGGGCACGTACCACGATTTCTTCGCCCCCAACTATCAGTTGTCATTCGAATTTGAATAGTTTACAAGTTATCTCCTATCTCGGATACTTATCATAAGTCACATTTCTTCTGTCTAGACATAATTTGAACGAACGAGTATCTTATCGCACTAATGTTTGTATAAGTTGTCAATAAACTTAGATTTGATGAATGTTGGACGTTTTGATGGTAGAGTATGAGTTACGATTAATCAAAATAATAAATCAGACAGCTTTCTAGTCTTCATGTAAGTTTGAATCAGATAAAGTTAAGATCCTGAGCTCTGCAACTTTTAAGCTTTTAACATTTCTCCTATTTCAAAAAACATTATAATTATTATGTAGCTTCCAGTATAACAAAAAAACACAGTGTACCTTTGTAATCTCATGTTATTTGATAGATTGAACAAATACTGTTTATTTTTACGCGACATTTTAATGTCGTTGGAACAAATTATTCATAGGCTGGTGTATGCTTATGAACACAATGGCTGAAGGTTTTTCTCTAATGAATTATAAAGGCTCCCGGTACAGAGCACGTGGATTTAATATTCTATACAATAAAACACGGCACAATCGTAAAACCTTTCTGGTTTCATTAAAAGTGTAATTTGTTGTTTTGGAGCCACTTAAAAATACTTTTGTGAAGAAAAAATTGCCTAAAGGTGATATTTATTTGGCAATAAAATGGCTTAATAATAGAAGCCTATAGAATAAGTTTTGAAGAGAAACGTGAAAAAATAGTAATATTTGTAGTCGCTTGTTTATTCCAAGTTTGAATAAAAGATTGGTTGCGTTAATAAATTAATTAAAGTAGCATGATGAGTTTTT